TATTGAAATATAATTAGATACAACAGCATAATAATGATATAACAAGGAAATAACATGTATCAACAATCTGATAAAGACATACACATACAATGAGCAGAGTTGTGTGCACACAAATGTCATCTTTGAAAACGTGTGCTTGATGTAAATAACAACAGGGATAAGTTAAATTTCTAAGCTCAATTGTTTCCATCTCTCTGAAAATGTGTTCATAAGATAAACTGTATTACTGTTGAAACTAAACTGATACTCGTAATAAGCATTGGTAAACATAATATATATAGTGTAGTTAAATAAAAGCAGATTCCAATGCATTTTTATCCTACAAAAAATTGTTTTTATGATGACTGTAAATTTATTATAAATTAAGGGAAACGCTTTCTTAGATATCTTAAATATTAAAAACAAAAATGAGGGATATTAAAACGAAATATTAAGCTAAGCGGTAGGACTTTATATTACAAATTTCATTTGACCTACCTAAAACTTGTTATACATGCATTACAAATTTAATGGATATTTTAAAACTGAAAAATATTAATATTACATACGTGATTTATTTTATTTAATATAAACAAAACTTGTCGACAATGACCTATATAACACTAATTTTTGATTTTGTTTTTATAAAAATCTTATTTATTTCTAATCACTGTCATATTTGGTTTCTTCTAAACAAACGAAAAAGTGCATGCCTCTTCTCAAATTGAAAGCTTAACCTTCCTCTTTTACTTGCATCCTTTTAGAAAACATGTACACAATAGAGATTGTTGTTGACACCTTCTACTTAAATCAATTCTGTTCATACGCACACATGGGAGAATTTTGTTTGCAGTATAGTACAATACCTGTGACAATGAAACACTGGTCATACGTCCCACCGTTGTCGAGAAGCAGTCCTATCGTATAGAAAAAAAATGAAAACATTGAAATGTCACAAAGATGATATGATCATGCGTATCACGTTAACGTAATTACTTGCTTTTAACCAGAGTTATAAATGACAGGACTCTTTGTCCTTTTTATAATTCAACTAAGTGTTTTAAGAGTTTTTACGTGTAAGTGTCCTTTATGGTACCTGTGGCAATCTGATACAGTGTATCAGAGAATTACGTTTCACAAGATAATCACAGGAAAGCTGGAATGGATGGATGGATGACGGGTTTCGCGCCTACATGAATCCGCCCTTACGGGTTTCATCTCACTGACGGAAGTCAGTGTTCAGTCGGCGTGAGGGAAGTTGCCTTCCCTCGGGGGGTGGTTTGGAGTCGTCTATTCTATCCTATCCTTATCTTGTGGTGTAATTTGGAGACGACTCCTTGGTCCGAAATGGTGTGTCTTGCTGGATGTTGTATCTGTGATTGTTGATCTTTACTAATGTTTTTGTGTCGTTGAGGGGACTCGAAATTGGCCAATGTGGCTTATATTAATGTATATATGTACTTAAAAAAGAAAAATATTTGTCTATTTGTAAAGTGTATTTATTGAATATATTCCTGTTCTTATAGGGAGGTATATATATTATATTTGTTATGTACCTCGGGTCTCTTACTGCCGGTTGAGCCCGACAGTAGGGAAACGTCTCTGCTTCCGTTAGGTGCAGTACTTTGTTTCCTTGTCAGACTTGGCCGGAGTTTGAGATTATCCGAGGGGTCCCTATGGTGTATGCAGATATTTACCCTTTATTCTCTGGTGTATGTCTTATTTAAAAAATAAAAAATAAATAAAAAAAAGGTTATTAGTATTTGGTCTTATTAAAGCTGGAAATCTACATTACACTTTTATAATGCTTTGCCCTGAAAACAAAGATAGCAATGCAATATATGAACATAAAAACGTCATTTTACACGATAGGTCATCATGTATGGCCCCTATATTTAGTTTCTGTCTCTTTAAATAAGCAAGTTTGGTGAATTTTAAAACAAACAAAAAAAGAAACAAACAATATGTTCCTTATGATTTCAGCAATATAATTGTCTAGAAATTATATAAAAAGATAAAAAAATAAATATTGAAAGGTATATGGGTTTTGTACATTGAATAATTTATATGACATATGGGTTTTTTCTTTACATTTTTATCCTCAGTTAAAAGTATTTAAAGAAGGAAACATGTAAAAGTTTTTAATGCTACATAAAGGGTGAAAAATCCATGAGAAATGTGATCTTACATTTACTATTAATGTATTATGGTAAGAGAAAATGTTCAGCGTAAATTTGCAGTAATAATATATCTTCTAAAACTATTAAACACTTTTTGTCAGTAAATTTGTTCAAATATTAAAACAGCTTATTTTTTTCGGCCCTTCTTCCATTAAAATAATTAATCCGGATTTTCATTCCGCTTTCCGTTTTGTACTTTTGTACACAATCCAAAATGGCGACCATCAATCACTTAATACACACGCTGTTTCAGCGTTGTCAAATGCAATCATATGTGAGTAAATAAATTCATAATAGCCGTATCAAGTGTTTGTTTTTCAAGTCTTACGGTTGTTTCCTCAAGTTAATCACCTATTGAACATGTTAAGAGGACCCGGTGATAATTTATTTATGCTCGAGTGTGAGCACGCTTGATGGACACCTGTGGACTTGTCTTCTGATCCCTCTCCCCCACTAGTTACAGACCCCCTGAGGCACACGCCACCTTGCAATGGACAGTGAGGTCATTGCTGGACATGGGGCAGCCTTGTATCTACTCAGTGTCAAATTCCTGTGTGAAAGACCCCCTCAGTACAAATAACAAGGTGATACGGTTTGAAGTTTAAGGTAATAGGATTGTGTCACCTTTTCTCAGTAGAATTTCTTCAAATTTTGTAGTTATATTGCTTTGAAGTAAAGAAAATTTTCTGCCACAAAAAAAATATAGGTTGTCAGAATTTTAAGGATTTTAAATGTCAATAAAAATATAGGTTGTCATATATTAGTATTAATATCAATTTAATAAATGCTGAAATTGTGTAAAATAAATTATCTATAAACGATTAAAAATTGACATTTTTTAATAAAACCATATACACATAGTAATTGCATGTAAGAGTTATCTGTCTTGAAAAACTTCACAGTAGTGAAATAGGTAGCCGGTTTCCTTAAGTACAGAAAAATGGACACATGTGACTCATTGATAAAAAACACCTGAATGAATTTGCTTTGAAATACTTTAATATTTAGAGAACACACTGTTCTGTCAATAATAAACATATAATATTCATCAGTTTAATATTAAACTTTATAATAACCGGAAATTGTGATACTGACTCCCTTCATCGGATTTTCAAATAGGGATGTACTTTCTATTTCCGTTTATCAATACACTCCAATGACCTTAAGGTGATACGGTAGGGAGGATTTCTACCTGAAGCTGATACGGCTCCGTATCAGCTAAATGGCCTGGGGAGACCCTCTAACCTCGTAACTAATGTAAGTTCTCTGGTAGGTAGAACAGGTATTTTCATTTTTTTTCTTAAAGCTCTTACACATTTTTAATACTCGTGTATCTTACCTCTACTTGAGGATGCGATAGGGATTTTCCTCCCGAGGGGAAAGATTATTAAGTTGCAAAACAGGAGGCTTCCCCGAAGATTTGATTTTTTTCTCCTTCTCTATCGGTATTGTTGTGGTTTCGGGGGTAAATGTATTGTTGACGTGACGTCTTAAATTAGTATGAATAGGGAATACCCTCTGGAGGATATATACGATCGATGTGGTCGATACATATCTTGTAACTCAAAGACAGCAAATCGTCAATATATCTGTATGTGAAATTGAAGGATTGGGTAGGGTTGTGTTACCAATGCTGACAAGCTCATCAATAAATTCAGCTTCTTATTAAAAAAAATCCAAAAATATCGGCTAGAACAGGGTCACTATTTGTTCTCATGTGTATGCCCTACAGTCTGCAGGATTATATTGCCAACCAGAAACTGCTTATATTTCTTCTTGACTTTTGTAGTACTTTTAACAAAATATATAAATGAACTACAGTGTATATGGAATGAGATATGTATGGCTAACCGTAACTATATATCCCTAGACCAACGGAAAACATCTCGATGCTCACCGCCGTAGCCAGATGTCGCAGCCCAACCAGTCGTAAACTCAGTCCATTCAACAACGGGAAGCAACTCCCACTGTATAAACCCAAAAATACAGCATACAGGACCTGTCCCTCGTAACAGTGTCCGTAGAGGGGGAAACAAATAGTTGATATACCCAACACTGAGACTGTTCCGAACAGCATCAGTGCGACGTCCACCTCGTTCCCAACGTAAAATGTGATGTGTAAACATACACACCGTGAGGCCGTCGCCATTTTGAGATTTACGCACCAAATGGAAAAAAGATTTTTTCCAGTTTTGGTTGAAAGTGTATTTTCGACAGTCTCCACGTGCAAAAGTAACCTCTTACAGGGTTCATTTTAAATGTAAAAGAGAGAGTCAGATTTTCTCAACTCCCAATCCTAAATACTCCAATGCTTACCATCACTTACGCTCTCTGCACACCTATATTATGTCATGGCAAAAATCGAAGACTCGGCGTGCGCCAGCTTGTGGATGATACAGCAAGCCTGGTGTGTTTTTTTGATTTACATCAAAGAATCCTGAATCAACATAATGGTTTCAGCCTTACGATTAGACAGTTTATTTTACCTGAAACCTAACAAATAGCTAGCCGCGTGATATGACATATTCCAGGGGTGCCAAGGGGCGTAATAGAACGTAATCCCTGGAATATCGAAGATTACACTACCCCCACCCACCCACCCACCCACCAAACCCCGGTTTGATTTTCACGTTAAAAACTGACCGCATGTCTATTTACAGCGCTACTGTACTTTCGCCATTGTGAATTAAACCGTGTGGTAAGTCAGATATCGTACTTGTGATTTGGTATGTATCGCTATATCAACTTTGTCATGTGTATTTATAATGACTAGTACAATACCGTTAAAAGACCTTCAAACACATGAATGATCATGAATTCGTACCGGCCAAGGTTATTACATTCGCTTCGGTCGATATTCATTACAAGTGCAGTCTGTGTTGCAGCGATCAGCAATACACCCGTTCATCTGATTTCAATGGTCGTTTTCTGTGTCCTTTGAACGTCGAGATGCTGAAAGGAACATATGTATGCTTCACAGAAAAAGAGCGGATTAAGACGGGGTAGGTAAACCGGTCCAGTTCATACACATTACATAATCAGTGCTGTATGTTTACACCAACGGCGAAACAGCTGTGGCACCCTGTTCATATCGAACAGGTTTATGTTATTGGAACATTTGATATGTACAGATCCTTCATTGAAACCCGTTTTTATGTTTATTTACAAGCACATATACATGAACCAGTAGCCTTTTGATTATACCCTTTTTTCAGTATATCGATCAGATAACACGATTATTTGTTAAGTTGACCCGCCTAATTTACGCTATGTTCTACGATATAATGGCAGTAAACACAATCTGTACAACACCATTACTCTGAACATCTGTCTTGCATTCTTCTATTGATCCTTTTTGTTTGAAGATAACTTAGTGATTGACTAGTAAGCTAGCCTGCCCCCGTCATTGTTGTTAATGACGTTTTGAGAAAATAATTGTAATAGGACGAGTCGGGGCTCCGGGCAAATCACGCACGTAATCTGTATTTAGTGTGTCCCTGAGTCCCGCATCGCCCTTTGTTGTCAACCGTGGTTTGGTAGGTCACAACGTACGAAATCTGTCGGCTAAAGAAGAGATAATAGGATCCAAATAAACTGTAAACAATATTTATTAACGTGAGGATGGAATATTTACAGATGAGAAGCACTTTGACTCACACTTATGACTTATATACTAAATTAACACACGATCCCGCACCTGGGTCTGGGTCCTAAATAAGCTTACAAACCCCCTAGCCATTAGTTATACCCTAGCCTGCACACCTAGTCGCTACACCGCACAACAGGGTCAACCCCAGTCACCCAGAAATGACATGACAACGTCACAGTTCAACTAAACATTCTAAAGAGTAACTTCAGGTATGTAAATTAGTGAGTGCATTAGATCCTGGACACGAATATCCCAGTCTAATACACGTCACTTAGCTGGCCGGCAGTGTATTGCCACGGGATAAAGGGTGAGTGTCTATAAGGCCCGTTTTGGGCCCCGGTATATTCGGATTTTCATCTCCCTATTTATTTCAAAGATGTCCTATTGCATAACATGCGGAAAAACTAAGGTAAAACGTCGACCGAAAGTGGGTTTCTGGGTGTAATGATATATGTGAATTCCGGATATTTGGTCCGACATTATTACGTAACCTTATTGGTTCTAATATTAGTATAAAAAGCACATGTTGAGAGAGAGCTCGCTGCCATCTTGTATCATCATGTTGTACGCTCCAGTGCTCCTGAATAAAAAACCAAGATCTTTGCATTGCTGACTTCTACTGATCATTACATGGTGTCAGAACATGGACAACAAACTACCAACGCCGAAGAGTCTGTCATTTGATGGCAACGTATCGGAGAACTGGAGAAGATGGCTACAACAGTACAGACTGTACATGACCGCTACTGCGGGAGATGAGCTGACGGAAAAGAAACAGTGTGCAATGTTTCTAACCCTGGCAGGTGAGACAGCTGTTGAAATTTTTAATACGATGACATTTGAAGCAAATGAACAGGACAAAATAGCGTCTCTCATAGAAAAATTTACGAATTATTGTTCACCGAAGAAAAACGTAACTTACGAGCGCCACGTGTTTAACTCGAGAGCGCAGAAGAGTGATGAAACATTCGACGAGTTTCTAACAGATTTGAGAATTTTGCAAAAGAACTGTGAATTTGGTGAATTGAAAGATGGCATTTTAAGAGACAAAATTGTTGAAGGAATCCGGAATGATGGACTTCGAGCGAGGTTATTACGTGAAGGTGACCTGAGTCTTCAAAAATGCATTGATTTGTGTAAAGCAGCATCCATGACAGAGAAACACATGAAAACATTAGCCCTAACTGAAAATAAAGAACAGGACGTTGACTACATCAGATCGAGAGGTAAATCGAGATCTAGAGGAACCGGTAGAAATTCTGGTCGGGGGTCGTCTCGAAAGGTAAATACCGAGCATACAGATGGACAGAAGTCAAGATCAACCACGTGTTCTTACTGTGCGATGGTACATAGAGGAAACTTATGTCCAGCGAGAGGTCAAACGTGTCGATTATGTGGGAAAAGAAACCATTTTGCGAAAGCCTGTAAGTCTAAACAGAAAAAAGCTACAGACAAGACAACTCAGCAAGTACATGCAGTGGAGAATTATGAGCATGAGCTATTTATAGACTCTGTTGAATATGTCACATCAAATGTGTGGCTAGCACCACTAGAAGTTCATGGAAACTTGATACCTCTGAAGATTGACACTGGATCCGATGTCAACATTATTCCAAAAGAAGAATTTGATAAACTTCGAAATAAGCCAAGGATCCACAAAACGAAAGTGAAACTAACGGCATACAACGCAGGACAGATAGAGGCTGTAGGACAATGTGTGTGCGAAGTGAAGCATAAAAACAAGAAATATAAAGTCCTATTCATTGTGTGTCCAGGAAATGTCAAGCCCATCATTGGAAGAAAGAGCAGTGAGGCTATGGGACTGGTTAAATTAGTACTCTCGGTAGAAAGGAAACAAAGTATTGTGAATACTGATCACATACAGAAACCGAAAGTGAAAGTAGAGCAACTCAGTAAGGAGAGCATTGAAGAAGACTACTCAGATGTATTTCAAGGATTAGGTTGTCTACCTGGAAAGGTTTCGATTAAACTTCAACCTAATTCAGAGCCAACAATTGATTCATGTAGAAAACTACCTTTCGCGCAGCATGATCAAGTAAAAAAGGAACTGGATCAAATGGTAGAGATGAAAGTTATAGAAAAGGTAGAAAAACCTACGGAATGGGTCAGCGCTTTGGTTATTGTACCCAAACCCAATGGAAAACTCAGACTCTGCTTGGATCCAAGGAACCTGAACAAATACATCAGGAGAGAACATTTCAAACTTCCCACAAGGGAGGAAATTATGTCTAAGTTTGCTGGAGCCAAGGTATTCTCAAAATTAGATGCCTCAAGTGGTTTTTGGCAATTACAACTAGATGAGGACAGCTCAGATTTGTGCACCTTTATAACGCCTTTTGGAAGATATCAGTTCAAGAGGTTACCCTTTGGAATTTCATGCGCACCAGAGATGTATCACAGAAATATACACACACTATTTGAAAATCTCTCAGGAGTAGACACCTCCATGGATGACATCATTATATGGGGAACATCTGTAGAGGAGCATGCTGCACGTGTCAGACAAGTGCTTGAAGTAGCGAGGGAATCGAACCTCAAACTCAACCCTGACAAGAGTGTGATTGGAGTACAAGAACTAACATTCCTGGGTGACACTATAACATCAGAAGGAATCAAGCCCGACAACAAGAAAGTTACTGCGATTGTCGAGATATAGAGGCCTGATGACAAAAAATCACTACAGAGATTTCTTGGTATGATTAATTATCTAGCAAGATTTGTACCAGACCTATCCAGCAGAGCTGTACCACTCAGAAAATTACTGGTTAAAGACAATGCATGGATATGGGAACAACCCCAGGAGAGAGCCTTTGAGGAGCTGAAAACTTTAGTCTCTAATGAGCCTGTGCTGAAATTCTATGATCCTACAAAAGAAATCCGAGTATCAGCTGATGCAAGCCAGACAGGTCTAGGGGCAGTCTTACTTCAAAAACATGACAGTGAATGGTTACCTGTTGCTTATGCTTCAAGGACAGTCACCGAGTGTGAAAGCAGATACGCTACAATAGAACGCGAAGCATTAGCCTTAACTTTTGCGTGCGAGCGCTTTCATCAGTACGTTTACGGTACTACATTTGAGGTTGAAACAGACCACAAGCCACTAGTCGCTATATTTGCAAAGGCGTTTAATGGATGTCCGCCAAGGATACAGAGGATGAGATTAAGGCTTCAGAAGTATGACTTTCGATTATCACATACTCCTGGCAGATATATGTATACTGCAGACACTCTCTCCAGAGCTTCAGTCAATGATGATCATGATGATTCAACAAAAGCTATGAACCATGACGTAGAAATGTATGTTGATTGCATCTACAAATCATTACCAGTAACGGATGCGAAACTGGATGAAATACGCAGAGCCACACAACAAGATGGAACTATGAACAGATTGGCTAGAGTGATAGTTGATGATTGGCCTGATGAGAGACATGACTGTACGTCTGATATGTTTCCCTATTGGAACTTCCGTGAGGAACTCACAGTGATTAATGGACTTGTATTCAAAGGAACTCGTATAGTTATTCCGCTGAAACTTCGAAGTGAGATGCTGAAGAAAATACATCATGGACATCTTGGAAGAGAAAAGTGCAAGAAACGTGCAAGTGAACTGCTGTTCTGGCCCAACATGAACTTTGAGATAAACAGCATGGTTGAGAACTGTGATGTGTGTCAGAAATTTGCGATGAAACAGCAAGCAGAACCACTGAACCCTACACCAGTATCCAAATCAGCATGGGAACATGTGTCAACAGATTTGTTCTCATTAGAAGGCAAAGACTACATTGTGACATGTGACAGTTTCTCAAACTACCCGGAGGTTCTGTTGCTACCTAATCAGACTGCAACATCTGTAATCAATGCTTTAAAAAGCATATTCTCGCGCCATGGTGTACCACAAGTACTCACCAGTGACAACGGTCCATGTTACAGCTGTAAAGAATTTAAAGATTTTGTGAAGGAATGGGATATCAAGCATGTTACCAGTAGCCCCAGATACCCACAGTCAAATGGACTAGCAGAAAAAACTGTACAGACCGTAAAGAACATTATGAGAAAATGTAAAGAAAGTCAACAAGACATTCATATGGCATTACTCGTGTATAGGACCACACCCCTTGACAATGGCTTATCACCAGCTGAACTGTTGATGGGTAGACGTCTCAAGTCAAACTTACCAGAAGCTAGAGTTGATGTCAAGAGAGTCGACAGGATGTCAGATGTCATTAAGTGGCGTGAAGGACAAAATAATCGTCAGAAATACTACTATGATCGTAGAAATCATGTTAAGTCTCAAGATAAACTTACACCGGGGGACCAGGTTCGAATCCA